CCAATTTATAATAGTGTAAATTTTTCTGTAAAGCGTTATATAAGGTAGCATTAATATCACCGATGATAGTTAAATCTTAGGTGGATTTTTATATCAGAATCTCGTCTTTGTGAAAAGTGTGCAGATAGAGGGTATTATTGAATATAAGACCTCGATATGTAAAATATATAAAAACTTTATTTCAACGTATACAAAAAATAAATCTACCTGCGTCACAGCGCGGCAGGAGAGGTGGATAGGGGGCCGCGGCGTAGCGTTACGTGGTGTGGCGCGCCGGTCGCGCTGGGTACGCGGGGTGCGGGCCCGGCGCGCGCGGTGTGGTGCGCGGACGCTGGCTTCCGCGAAGCTAAGCAAATTTAAGGTTTGAAAGAGCAATAATGTCAATGGATTTTATTTCGCTTTTAAAAAGGTAATAATGCCAATTGACTTAATTTCGCACCAGGGTGGGAAATGAAGTCAATTGACCTTATTTCCGGTGATCTTACTACCTGTCACCAAGCTCAACGGTAAGTCCAATATACTTAAAATTTTCAATTTGCTTGCTAAAATTAATTGGGCTACAAAACTGAATACAAAAATTTTGTCTAAAAACGCTGAACAAGAAGTTAAAAATTTTGGTAAAAATTTGCTGAATTTTCATAATTTTGTACAAAGTATGAAAATTGGATTTATATCGTATTTGTTATCTAACCAGCTATACTTTCATAAAAAATAATAAACATTAAATAAAATATATAAAAATAGCCAAAACTTTCTAAAAAGTCCCGTCCCAGTTTTTATTTGGTTCGCTGTATGTGTATCCCTGTAACCGATTAATCAATTTGAACCAAACTCAGTACAATTATTGACATTGGCACAAAAAAGCTATTTGTTGAAAGTTNATACTTTCATAAAAAATAATAAACATTAAATAAAATATATAAAAATAGCCAAAACTTTCTAAAAAGTCCCGTCCCAGTTTTTATTTGGTTCGCTGTATGTGTATCCCTGTAACCGATTAATCAATTTGAACCAAACTCAGTACAATTATTGACATTGGCACAAAAAAGCTATTTGTTGAAAGTTTTCGAAATCGGACTAAAATTATTCTCAATTTCCACTTGCAAAAAAAAAAAACGCAAAAATGTTGATAGAGTTTGGTGCGTTGCTTTAAAACGTTGCACCACGTTGCATTTCGTATTCTAGCAGCTGAAGGAACGTATACTAAAAATTTCAGACATGTGCTCACGATTTGAAAAAAAAAGATTTTTCCACAAAATAATTCGAAGTTTCTGGGAAATGCCCATTTATTATTATTATATTTTGGCTGTGCTGATTGTCGCAAAAAAATTGCCTAGTGACGAATTCGCCCCTTGATATGGTGGTTGTTCGAGGCTATTTATATTCGAAATTGCATGAAAATTGGAAAACAGGATCCTATAAGCTTATCCAGGCAAAAAGCTACTTGCATACAAAATTTTAATCGAATCGGACCATAGATAAGATTTTTCGAATAGATCGGTCCCTGGTCCACTTCGCCGAAAAAGGATCCTATATGCTAATCTACGCAAAAAGCTACCTACATACCAAATTTTAAGGAAATCGGACCATAAATACGATTTTTTCGAAAAGATCGGTCCCTGGTCCACTTCCCGGAAAAAGAATCGTATATGCTAATCAAGGCAAAAAGCTACCCACGTACCAAATTTTAAGCAAATCGGACCATAAATACGATTTTTTCGAAAAGATCGGTCCCTGGTCCACTTCCCGGAAAAAGAATCCTATATGCTAATCAAGGCAAAAAGCTACCAACGTACCAAATTTTAAGCAAATCGGACCATAAATACGATTTTTTCTAATAGATCGGTCCTTGGCCCACTTCTCGGAAAAAGGATCCTATATGCTAATGCATATGTATGCACAAATGTAGGTGAGAATGTATGTGTCTTCCCAAGTAGGTTAAATGCGGGTATAGTTGCATACTGTGTACATGCTTACATCTAAAATGGGGAAAAAGCGTTACAATTCGGGGTTTCCAGGATATGTACGAAGTGATAGCACAGCTCCATTCTTCAACTTGTACTTAATCACAATAACGCTAGCACTGTTCACCAAATTTTCCGCCCACGATAGCATATCATACTATCGATAGTGCCATCGATAGTTTGACAACTCTAGAAGTGGGTATGTTATGTTAATAACTTAAAGTAACCAAATTAGTCAAATATGTTAACTTTTAACCACTTGTCGCTATTTGGGGCGACTATTTTCAATTTGAATCGCCAGCAATCTTCCGAAATCCGCAATAAAATCTGCATTTTGCTGACTTTAGTCCTGCAATTGCCACGCCCATTTCTATAGGTTTGTCGCATTAAAAAAATATTTTCGTACAAATATTATACCTGGAAAAGTTTAAATTCTTGCAAAAAATCGATGTTTAACACCTTACTAAATATATCTCAACATAAGTTTTCGAAAACAAATTACAAAAAATTTTTGATTCTCACAAAATAAACCATCTCGTTGCAACGAAAAATATTTTAAAAATAGTTCTTGAAAAACGCACATTTTTTGAACCAGGTTTTTTTTTATAGAGAATCAAACAAGGATTACGATGGTATAATTTTAAATCCCTAATTTACTGGTCTTCACTATGCAAATCAACTTCAAAAAATTCAACAGTAGATAGCTAAGTTAGCTTTAGGACATTCTTGACCATCTTATATGAGGAAATGTTAAGCCCATTTCTTTAGCTTTAAAAAGACGTTAAGATGAAGTCTCTACGACGAGCAGAAACCGAGATATAACGATTTGAAGAAATAAAGTATTAGTCAGAATAACGAAAAAATGCAAACTTGGACAGATCATGTCTCCGAAAAAAAAGCCTCGAACACGTGTTAGCTTATTTCATGTACAGAACCCTTCAAAAAAATGTTAAGCCAATCGAAAGTGTAACACCTAATTTGGTGTCCGATATGAAAAAGAATGTCTCATATACCAGATGAAGGCTAAAGTTTTGGGATAGACTTGAGGAATCTTAGAATAAAATCGAGCGACCAGTTTTTGAGAAAAGGCCCGAAATATATATTTTCAGCAGCCCGATTTTTAGTAGGCGATAGCGTTATGGCATATTTTTATTTCATAAACACAAAAGACAGCGTAAGATAGCTTGTTTTAAGACTCCTCTACTGATATCCACATCAATGGTAAGGAATGAGTAGTGCGGCCTCAGTGGTAGTTCAAAAAATTGCCTTTTTTTTTGAATTTCAGGCAGCAGCCACGCCTACAAAGGCATATGAAAGTTTGAAAAGATTAAATGAAGGTACGTACAGACGCCACACACATACCAAAGCATCTCGTATGTATATAGGGACACGAATTTCGTTACGATACGATACCAAATCGATATTTTTGCAGTTTGATGCCGATACTTTTTACTCGATACTTTTAAAACGTTATTCTTTGGAATCGAGTACTTGGCCTTCAATATCGTATCGAATTTAGAAAGGAAAATATATGCGAATTTAATAAAAACATCCATCTGGCAATATTTCATCGGTCAGAAAGAAAAAGATGTGAAACAACATATAGTACCGCACCAACGCTACTGTGTATATGTATCCCTTTCTAAATTTGGCGCGATATGCTATTTTTTCGCGCTCACAATTTCACAGTTATTTTATTTCATCAGAAGCAGCGGAATTTTATGAGTATTGCCATGCCATTTGCCTACACCAGAGTTGTATAAAACACGTACATATGTATGTACCCTTTAGAGTGTGTTGGTTGCTAAAAACCATTTTTTGAAAATTAATGAAAGCGAATACTAAAAATGCGTGGCTTTAAAATAGGAAAAACACTTTCCATTTTTCCTAAAAAAAACATAATCGTGGTACAAAGCTCAATAATAACATTAAAATAAAAACATTTTTTTTAGTTTACTATGCATGATAATTTGTATGTGCTTTTTTTGAGTCTGATGTAGATATCTAATAAATTATGAACAGAATTGAGGAAATATTAGGTTTGTTCTCGTAAAAATTATCCAGTAACTCTCTTAATTTCTGAGAATTCGCTCTCTTAGGAAAAAAGTACAAGAACGCAAAACCAGTAATAATTTGCAAGTTTTACGAACAGCTTATTAATTTGTTGCTTATTCGCAGCAAGTTCCTAATAAAAGCAATGTCTAATATCTTATTTTATATTTAAATAAATTTCACCCNTTTTTTTATTAGCTTCAATTGCACCAAGCAACATGCGATCCGCTGTTTTTCTCACTTGTAAGTTCTTACTAGTAAAAATTTATCCAGTAAAAAGTAGCTACTTCTCCTCAAAATGAAATGTCACTTTGCGCTCTCAATTTCCCCTTTCTTACAAGTTTTTTGGTTACAAGAACCCCAAAACGTGATAGTTAGTAAAAAATGGTACAAACTATCGTGTACAAGAACGCTAATATTAATCGCTTTATTCATAAATATAGAATGAAATTTTAATTGCTTTATAAAACCACCTTACATATGAGGCCATGAGAACAGAAGTGGTCTAACCCACAATTTTTTTTGTTTGTACTTAGCTTCTTAAAATAGTTTCAAATGTAATAAATTTTAACGTAAAGGTCGCTTTATTCCTTAATTTGATAGTACGTTATGTAGCTATGTACCTTAAAATTAAGAAACAATCGACTTTAATTTCAAAACGGATCACATTTGAGACTCTTATAAGTAGGCAAGTACAAAAAAATAAATTTTGGGTTAGGCCACTTCTGTTTTCATGGCCTCATATATAAATTCGCCTTGTTTACAACCTTTAAATTTGTATGACATCTTGTATGTAAGGCTTATAAATAATGGTCGAAATGAAATTGACTCTAAAGTTAGCTGCAGATTTTTTCACAGACTTTATTTTGACGAATATTTTTAAAGAATTTTTCGATTTATATGGCCTTTTAAATACTAAGGTATGAATATACAAATATTTATGAATTATGCGCCATGTTATTATTTATATTATATACATATTTGATTAGACAGAAACTTTACCGAATTGCATTCATTTGCAAAATGTATTCAACTGAAAAGCGACTCTGTGTTTCAATAGCATTTTTTAAGCGTTGTGGTAACACTGAGTGTGCTTCACTCATTTTGATTTTTTCGCGCAACTACTGAAAATCTTTTAGCTGCGGTAATTTAATTAAAGTTTTCATAAAATGAAAGTGGCTGTCTTAAATTAAAAGGGGTTTAGTTACAATTTTCAGCTAAAATATACATAAACGCTTATGCTGACTGGTGAACACAACTAAAGCTTATTAGTGTGCACAATCCTTCAGAGCCTTGAAGAATAACCTGGGTTATGTGAGCTTGATCGCTCAGCCAACCAAACCACATCGAACAAAGGTTTAGTGATTGTTATTTTTTACCAAAATTCAATGTAAGTACGAATATTTATTTTGTGAAAAGAAGCAATTTTGTCACCAATTCATATGTATGTATATGCATGTAGTTATGTACGTAGATACATACCGCAGCCGCTAGAAAACCATACAAAATGAGAAGAAGTGAGGTTTGGAAGTTTTTTAATGAAAATAAAGTAATGTAAAAAAAATATTTTTTTAAAAATAAGCTTTTATTTAACATGTTTAATCAAAGGAATAAATTAAAGTAGTGAAACAAAAAATTTGTTAGCAAGAAAATTTTGTCACTGCACTAAAATGAATAAAATAAAATAAGTTAAGGTCTCGTTAAAGTTTCTAAAAGCCATTTAGTGAAAGCAGTTATTCAAACTCTAATGAAAATTACTAACAATTTGTACTAATTTACTTCGTTTTTAAAAAAGCTTGCAACTTGCAATGAAAGAGAACAGAAGACTATGCAAGCAAAATGTTGTTTGCTTACGTTTTGTATAAACATACATATGTACATACATACATATATCAGCAGTTAATTTCATTTAAAGAAATGGCGTGTCGTCCACTTCCGCTGTAGCATGGCATATATTTAGGCGCAATATTAAAGTTCTTCTGGCGGGGAAACTTCTCGAGTCTTCTAATTGTATCTCCTTGATATGATGCCTACAACGAGGTTCATATCTAGACTAGGTTGATATCTAGAATTTGCCATAAATAGCTTTGCTCTGGTTTTACGTTCTTTGGCAAATTACGCTCTGTTAGCCATAAATTTTACTAATTTTTGACCGACTTTGAATCAAGACCCCTGGACCATATAGGGAATTCATTTATATTTTAAATTGCATTGTCATCGTGATTGGAACTATGCTGAAAATTTCAAGTCTCTAACTTGTCGGGAAGTTAGATTAAAATCGATTGGAAATTTCCACGATTTGCGCGGGATGACCAAGTTAAATAAAAGCTTATAAAAATGAAAAGGAGGCCAGCTGCGAAATTTGTTTCAAAACTATTCAGCGCTCGGGAAACACAACAAATTTACAAAAACATGTTCGCACGCATCCAGAGTTGTAAGTGGTTTCCTTGGTTAACAAATTAATATACATAATTGGTTATTTTCTAGTGCTAAAAGTGACATTCAAAATGATGGGCAAAAGAAGCTACCTGGTTGCAGTTCAGCGGTAGAGGTCCAAAGCAAAATTACTTCTCCCAGTGCTAATAGCGATTCAAGCGGGCGTCAAAGCTCTCCGCCATTGGCAGTTACTCCAAAAACAAGTGGGAAAAAACAGCAGCGGTTGGGGGATTGTCTAAAAAAACGGTAAGTCATATCCAATTTATACAAATTCTGAATACTTTTTATATAAAAAAAAGCGTAGGACAGTCAGCAAAAAAATTCTCAAAAATCAACGCAAGTTTTTAGACATTTGAAATTTGCACATTATTATACTAAAATTTAATATACTATAAAACTGCATACCTGATTTTTTTTTTAGAAATTCTTATTAAAAAGTTTTCGATTTTGCTGAAACTTTGCAGATTTTTCTAAATTTAGTATGTAAAACATTGCGAATATTAACAAAAAATTACCGTACGCTCAATTTTGTGAGTAACAGTAGATAAACTTTATTTGGAAAATTTCAAGTGGGCAAGAATTATCGTTAATTTTTATACAACCTTTCATTTACGTTCTTGCCATATTACATATACAGACAAAGTCAAAAGACAGCATACACATTGGTCTAATATAATATTCACAATTATTTTCATGAAACAAATTTTTCATACATTTTTTATGAAAATATAGTTCATTCTTTAACATATGCCATATAAATTGAAGTTTCACACCTTGTATAAAAATCAACAAATTTGTCATCAAATTTTCAATTTTTTAATCAGAATTTTTATAAACTTTTCGGGTAGTCAGTTTTGTAGCCCATTCAATTTCAATAGGGCAATTCATCAAAACGCGTAAATGCCTCGTAACCATGTAAACCTCGTAAACTTACTTAATTTTCTATGGAAATTCAGTTTATTTACGAAATTTACACGGTTACGCGACCATTATGCGTTTTGATGAATTGCCCTATTGAAACTGAATGGGCTACAAAACTGACTACCCGAAAAGTTTATAAAAATTCTGATTAAAAAATTGAAAATTTGATGACAAATTTGTTGATTTTTATACAAGGTGTGAAACTTCAATTTATATGGTACTAGATCGCCCTCACCCGCTTAGCTGAGTGTATGAAATTTTTGCGTGCTACTTTGGGAAAAATCTATTTCAAGAAAAGTCAATTCAAAAACAGGAGGTTTAAAATTTGTTTAACCATCTTCAAAATATTTTCAAACTATAACTTTCTTAAACTTCTCACTTGTATACTTTTTCAACTCAATTGAAATTTTAAACAGAGGGAAACCTTTCACATATAGTTTTGAAATTAAGTCCTTTTAATCATTTTGATAGATTCCCATATTGCAATAATTCATTTAAATTATTGAATAGTTTGAATTTAACCTTTTAAACAGTTTGCAACCTTTTTAAACCTCTTTCGTCTAACACTCATATTGTGATACAT